TCTTTGGCATTGATACAAAGTTACAGTCTTTGGCATTGATACAAAGTTACAGTCTTTGGCATTGATACAAAGTTACAGTCTTTGGCATTGATACAAAGTTACAGTCTTTGGCATCGATACAAAGTTAGAGTCTTTGGCATCGATACAAAGTTACAGTCTTTGGCATTGATACAGAGATCTTTTAATGTAAATTATCCATATTTTACCTAAGACGGAAACTTTCTCAAAAAAACCTTAATACCTTATAAAGGTGATAACACTGACAAAAATAACGAACGAAAATGTAAACAATGATAGCAACAATATTCACGAAAGCTGGCACGGGAAAAAACAATTTCTGGAGAACGAACTGCATTTTTGTCGCAGTTTGGTAATTCTTCGATATCTCAATGCAGCGGTTGTATGCTAAAAGAGAGGTAATTAAATTCTTCTGAGAGAATACAATGGAAATATTTGCACCCACTTTTTTTAAAAGAAAAATTATCTAAAAAAGGTTGTTCTGGTAAAAAGCCCTGTAACTGTAAGGATTTACAAGAGTCCGTAGATTTATACCATTTACCTGTTGTCGTGGGCACAGTAACCGTCGTGTAATTTATCCCATCCATGTCTGATGTGGAGCACGGCTATACAGATGTCCATGATGCCATTGAGAAAAGAAAATTAACTCCGTTCGTTAAAGATAGTTCTACATCTTTTTCGCCTGCAAAGAAATATTTCTAATTTTGAAAGTGGGAATAACGAAAATAACGAACAAATATATTTTCACTGAAGCTAAAGCATTAGTAACAAATAAGTGTTCAGCACCATCGCTTTTCTGGGGTTTTTTTGTGTTTTAATTTCAGAACCAAACAACTACATAGCGATCTACAGTTTGAAAAAAATGGATTGCTGTAGCCAAACAAAAAGGAAACTAAAATAACTTTTATCTACCGTGATACACCTCTCCTCTACCGTGGTACACCTCTCCTCTACCGTGATACACCTCTCCTCTACCGTGAAGCAGCTCTCCTCTACCGTGATACACCTCTCCTCTACCGTGATATACCTCTCCTCTACCGTGGTCCACCTCTCCTCTACCGTGATACACCTCTCCTCTACCGTGATACACCTCTCCTCCACCGTGGTACACCTCTCCTCTACCGTGGTACACCTCTCCTCTACCGTGGTACCCCTCTCCTCTACCGTGATTCACCTCTCCTCTACCGTGGTACACCTCTCCTCTCCCGTGATACACCTCTCTTCTACCGTGGTACACCTCTCCTCTACCGTGATACCCCTCTCCTCTACCGTGATATACCTCTCCTCTACCGTGGTCCACCTCTCCTCTACCGTGATACACCTCTCCTCTTCCGTGGTACGCCTCTCCTCTACCGTGATACACCTCTCCTCTACCGGGATATACCTCTCCTCTACCGTGATACACCTCTCCTCTACCGTGGTACACCTCTCCTCTACCGTGGTACACCTCTCCTCTACCGTGATTCACCTCTCCTCTACCGTGATATACCTCTCCTCTACCGTGGTACATCTCTCCTCTACCGTGATACACCTCTCCTCTACCGTGGTACACCTCTCCTCTACTGTGAAGCAGCTCTCCTCTACCGTGATATACCTCTCCTCTACCATGATACACCTCTCCTCTACCGTGATACACCTCTCTTCTACCGTGATACACCTTTCTTCTACCGTGATACACCTCTCCTCTACCGTGATACACCTCTCCTCTACCGTGGTACACCTCTCCTCTACCGTGAAGCAGCTCTCCTCTACCGTGATATACCTCTCCTCTACCGAGATATACCTCTCCTCTACCGTGATATACCTCTCCTCTACCGTGATATACCTCTCCTCTACCATGATACACCTCTCCTCTACCGTGATACACCTTTCCTCCACCGTGGTACACCTCTCCTCTACCGTGGTACACCTCTCCTCTACCTTGGTACACCTCTCCTCTACCGTGATACACCTCTCCTCCACCGTGGTACACCTCTCCTCTACCGTGATACACCTCTCCTCTACCGTGATATACCTCTCCTCTACCGTGATACACCTCTCTTCTACCGTGATATACCTATCCCCTACCGTGATAACTTCTCCCTTACCGTGATAGATAACTTCTCTTCTACCGTGATATACCTCTCCTCTACCGTGATAACCTCTCCTCTATCCTGATATACCTCTCCCCTAACGTGATACACCTCTCCCCTACAGTGATATACTTTTCCTCTACCGTGATACACCACTCCTCTACCGTAATTCACCTCTCCCCTAACGTGATATATTATCTTCCTTACCGTGATATACCTCTCATCTACTGTTATATACCATTCCTCTACCGTGATACACCTCTCCCCTTCCGTGATATAATTCTCCTCTACCGTGATACACCTCTCCACTATCGTGATATAACTCTTCTCTATCGTGATATGCCCCTTCTCTATCATGAAACACCTTTCCTCTATCGTGATACACCTCTAATGTAAGGTGATATACCTCTTCTCTACACATATACACCTCTCCTACCGTGATACACCTCTCCTCTATCGTGATATACCTCTCCTCTACTGTGATATACCTCTGCTTTACCGTGATACGCCTCTCCTCTACCGTGATACACCTCTCTTCTACTGTCATACACCTCTCCTAAACCGTGATAAACCTCTCTTCTACCGTGATATACCTCTCCCCTACCGTGATATACGCCTCCTCTACTGTGATATACCATTCCTTTACCGTGATACACCTCTCTTCTACTGTGATACACCTCTCCTCTACCATGATATACCACTGCTTTACCGAGATACACATCTCCTCTATCGTGATATACCTTTCCTCTATCGTGATATACATATCTATCGTGATACACCTCTCCTCTATAGTAATACACCTCTCCTCTATCGTGACACACCTCTCCTCTATCGTGATATACCTCTCATCTGCTGTGATATACCATCCTCTACCGTGATACACCTCTCCCCTTCCGTGATATAACTCTCCTCTACCGTGATATACCTTTCCTCTATCGTGATATACATCTCCTCTATCGTGATACACCTCTCCTCTATAGTAATACACCTCTCCACTATCGTGACACCCCTCTCCTCTATCGTGATACACCTCTAATGTAAGGTGATATACCTCTTCTCCTCCCATATACACCTCTCCTACCATGATACACCTTTCCTCTATCGTGATATACTTCTCCTTTACTGTGATATACAATTCCCCTACCATGATATACCTCTTCTCTATCAATATACACCTCTCCTACCTTGATAGAACTCCCCTACCGTGATATACATCTTCTCTACCCATATACACCTCTCCTACCTAGATATACCATTCCTCTACCCTGATACACCTCTCCACTAACGTGATATACCTCTCCTCTACCGTGAAACACCTCTCCTCTACCCTGATACACCTCTCCTCTAACGTGATATACCTCTCCTCTACCGTGATATACCTCTCATCTACGGTGATACACCTCTCCTCTACCATGACATACCTCTGCTTTACCCCGATACACCTCTCCACTAACGTGATATACCTCTCCTCTACCGTGATACACCTCTCCTCTACCGTGATACACCTCTCTTCTATTGTGATATACGTTTCCTCTACCGTTTTACACCTCTCTTCTACTGTCATACACCTCTCCTCTACCATGGTATACATCTCCTCTACCGTGATATACTTTTTCCCTACCGTGATAAACCTCTCGTCTACCGTAATACACTTCTCCGCTACCGTGATATCCCTCTCCGCTACCGTGATAAACCTCTCGTCTACCGTAATACACTTCTCCGCTACCGTGATATACCTCTCCGCTACCGTGATACACCTCTCCTCTACCGTATTACAACTCTCCTCTACCGTGATACACCTCTCCTCTATTGTGATATACGTTTCCTCTACCGTGTTACACCTCTCTTCTACTGTCATACCCTTCTCCTCTACCATGATACCCCTCTCCTCTTCCGTAATACACCTCTACTCTACCATGGTATACCACTTCCCTACCGTAATACACCTCCCATCTATCGTGATAAACCTCTCCTCTACCGTGATATACATTTGCCCTACCGTGATAAACATCTCGTCTACCGTAATACACCTCTCTGCAACCGTGATACACCTCTCTTCTACCATGATACACCTCTCCTCTGCTGTATTACAACTCTCCTCTACCGTGATAATCCTCTCTTCTACCGTAAAACACCTGTCCACTACCGTGATACACCTCTCCCTTACCGTAATACACCTCTCCTCTACCGTAATATACCTCTCCCTTACCGTGATACACCTCTCCACTACTGTGATATACTTCTCCTCTACCGTGATATACCTCTACTCTACCATGCTATACCATTCCTCTACCGTGATATACATGTACTTATCCTCTACCATGATACACCTCTCCTCTACCGTGATGCAACTCTCTTCTACCATGATACACCTCTCTTCTACCATGATACACCTCCCTTCTACCATGATACACCTCTCCTCTACCGTGATACACCTCTCCCCTACCGTGATACACCTCTTCTGTGCTGTGATATACCTCTCCTCTACCATTAAACCCTCTAAAGGGACATCACGTGAAGAGCCATATTTTTTTTAATGAATGTATGTATTGTATGCACTTCCACTTATGTTACCTCGCTATTCCCATATTCATAGTCCGTTCCAAATGTCCAGTTTGACCACTTGAATAGACCTTTGGACGTTCGTTATCGAAAATTGCTTGCGTATTATTTTAGATATGTTGATTTTAACGGACTTGGTCAATTTCTGTCAAAATTTGCATCTCTGTAGTTATTTACCTTTTCATTGGTTCGAATGCATGTACATCAAAAAAAATTGTCATTTCTTTTTTTTATTCAGATAATTCTCAGATAATAATTTTGAAAAAAAAAATGTATACTTATATAAAAAAAAAATCTGACATAACAAAGCGTCAAGTGCCTATGCCTACACCAAGGGACAAACCTTTCTGATTTTTTTTATACATTGCCGGGGCAGAGAAGGCCGGGTATTCATATTAGTACTAATTTCAATCTTGCATGTAAAAACAAAAGTAATCGTTTAATTCAGCAATATAATTAAATCATACCATTTTACTGAACCCGGTAATATTATAAATTATGTAAATCTAATAGCGCACGTATCTCGATGACCCAGGAAATACGCCGTGGGCCATCACAACAGTTATCCCTTGGAGTGCCTCATGGCAAAATCAAACTAACCAATCAATTATCCCTTCCTTTCGCATAAACCACTGTATAATTATAGAAACACAAAGTAAACTCTCTCCGATACATGCCCATTAACATATTAAACTAAGTTCATCTGTGTTCAAACTAGCGAGCTTCATAGTTTTAGATATTTATTCATAACATAAACAGCGCTAGCATTTCTGTCGATTCCATTTCAGCTTAACCGGCTATCCGGAAGAATACATGCACCGTACTAACTGCTAGGGCAGTTATTTTCTCGTTTGAATACTGCCCACCTGCAATAATGATTCCGTAACGTACTCATTGCGATATCTTTTGACCATTTGGCAACTTTTCGTTTCGTAGCTGACACGGTACAACACTTTTCTTTCGCTTACTTCACATGTGTACACGGCCAGTCATTTTGTTTACAAATAAATGATGTGCTATGCGCATGCGCTAGTAGAGGGAAATCCCTGAACAAAACGCGTAAGTTGGTCAGACAGGTAGAAATACCGATGATTTTCTAAGATTTAATCATTTTTATGAATCTATTTCAGCCAAATCCGATCGTTATTTTCCATAAGGAGTCTCACTTGATGTTTATGAAGTATTTGAAAAAAAAGACAAAAAATAAAGTTACTTCACCGTGATGCCCCTTTAATGTAACGTGTATCGATACATCATAAGATATGTTTTTACCTGTAAGGTCAGTGATTTGTTGTAGTCTCAGGGCGCAACTTAAATATTTTATTAAATTAATTTGCAAGAACAATAAACATCGCGTTTTAATGCCTTCAGATCAGGAAGATTTGTGATAAAGTGACATAAATAAATGAACGTTAGCACATTAAAAAATACATAATGTAAATGTAAAAACAAGCATTGGATTGAATAATTAGGAGCGTTCATAATGCAAACTACATTATATTTCTTTCACGCCAAAATCACAACCACACACACATATTTAGAACTTGAGTTTTCTACATGAAAATATTATCTACCCGACGGGAACATGATCAGATCCTGCCTAAATACCACTTTATAGAGGTGATCACTTTGATTGCAAATAAACATTTATATATTTTTTGACATTTTCAATATATTTCAAAAATTAAAGTTATAATTTTAGATTTTATTTCTAGTGTTACACACTGGGTGAATACGTATAAACTAAAAACCAAAAAAGGATTTTAAAAAATGAAATTAAATAAGTTATTAAAAATTAGTCATGTACTTATTCCTCATACATTTTGCTTAAAAATAGTTTTAAAAAAAAAGAATTTAAGAAAGATCTTGAAAAAGTACAAGGCCAAAACCAGTATATCTGAGCCCTGTCACTGGGATTCCTTCGGAGAAATCTGAAGAAATGTCCGACGGATCTGAAATTGTGTGCGTTCAAGTCCCTAATTCGATCTGTATTGGAGTATAGCTCCACCATATGGGACCCTTACGCGGACAAGGACATATATACCATAGAGAAAATACAAAGGCGTGCAGCGAGAAAGCAGTGTAACACCAATCCTAAACAGACTAGAACTCGAACCACTGAAAGACAGACGTCGTGACCACAGACTAGTTCTGTTGTTTAAGATCATCAATAAGACATACACATATCTGCTCAAACCACATGTGTCGCAAAATAAACAATAAATCTGGAATGTTGACATTCCCCTGACCAACTTCTGGATCCGCCCCTGATACGAGAGTTTGTGCCATCTTGTATAATACACGAACTTCTCCTATATGTCTTATGTAACTTGGGTGTGTGCGGCCCCTTGACGTCTACATACCATAGTGAGTATGTGACGTCATTCAGACGTGATATATAATAAAATATGCACTCTACTCGTCTACTGGATAACCGAACTACTCGGGCGGCAAACCACTCAGTCATACGAATCGACGAACACATGATACGGGGCACGTTTTGTGTACGGTGCCCACGTCTCCTGTGTATGATTCCTATGTATACAAAATATCATGAATAGCAGATGAAATAAAGTCAAAGTATTCCGAATAGTATTAAAAATTATATGCTGGTACAAAGAAAGAATTAGATAAAGGTCACCATATAAACACATATCTTCATAAACAGCTTACCTGTAATCATCGACTTCCTGGTTTTTTAACAGGTGCAAGAAGGGAGATCACTCTATTTGCAAAACTAATGTCGCTCACTTTCCATTATTTGGTCGTAACGGCCAATCTGTTATAAAAAACAATATGTCGCGAAAGTGAAACAGCGCTTTCTGTGACAGAAATATTTACTCTCAGCAGTCAAAAAGGGTTCATTTTATTTCTAAAAACGATTGTAAATTGTACTTGATAAATAGTTTTTATAATACTGTAATTTATTACATTCATTTCAGATCAAAGCACTCTCAGGGTCTCGTAAATCTATTGGAATAGCCGGATCCATGTTATATTCAGTACCAGAAAACAATAACAAATTGCATGGTGATTGTGTTAAATTTGTTGTGAATACAAGTGTTAATTTATTTTATTTTTGTATCATATGATGTCCAATTTTTTGATGTATTATTAGATTTGGAAAACTAAATGAAGTCGGTCCAACCATCACATCAGAGTTATATCTATTATATTTTAGTTTGGCCATACATTTTATACGGGATTATATTTTAGTCTGACCATACATTTTATACGGGGTTATATTTTAGTCTGACCATACATTTTATACGGGATTACATTTTAGTTTGCGTCATTCTGATAACACATACGCATAATATACCATTTCATTGTAAACAAAATGGCTTTGCGGTAGAATTGTCAGTGACTTAAAACTGTAACCGGGTCAGCTACGAAGTGAAGAGTTGCCAAATGGTCAAAGCATACTGCCGGAATAACGTTGGGGAAGCATTATTGCAGGTGGGGTGTTATATAAAAAGCACGTTACAAGTACTCTTCTGGATAGCCGTAGGAAGTTGAATAAAGCTGACATGGAATCGAGCACAGGGGTGCTTAAATTGTGAATAAAAATAAAATGAACCATTTACGTGGCTAGTATTTTTGTCTAGCGAATGAATACACTTTGCTATGTAAACGGGTATATACCGGATTGAATTCACTTCTTTTTTCATTAAGATAAAGCGAAAGCGGGAGATACGTTCGGCTTCTTTTGTTGAGCAATTCAGATCTTTCGATAGACCTTAACTCTTTCGTTTTAGACATGCGCATCATTTCATCAAATCAAGCAATAACTTTTCGTGATGTTTATTTGCGTCTGTGAATATTATATATATCTATATATATATATACTTGATATGTTTATGCCTAGTATCATCGTTGTCATGTACATGTAATTGTAAACGTATGACGGGAGATGGCTGTTACAAGTTGTAATAACTTGTGCCCGACCCTCGTTCAAATTTATTGCCAAAAAAGATGTTTAAGATAGATAATAAGTTAGGCTACTGGTCAGTCTGATTTTGTGATGGGGCCTTCCATGGGATAATTTTGGGAGGTTATACCACGCAGACTTTGGTGGGTTAATCGAATTCCTTGGTAATACAGTGCGGCCTTGACGTATGACACCAAGTACACTGTATGCTATATTATTTCCCTGTAAAGTTAACTGGTATGGTTTTACACTAACCCTTACCCTATAATGAACCTGATTTTGAAGCCAGGAACAAACGACGACTGCTACCCCTCTTTATCATAGAGGGGTGACATTAATATCAGTGTATTGTAAGATATACACAGCAATATTAAACGCTTGTTTGACAAAGTGGTTGGAGGAAAATAATATTTTATGTGATGAACAGAACGGTTTCCGGAACCAACGGAGCTGTGGGGAACATATCTACACTTTGTATTATGTAATCAACGGAGCTGTGGGGAACATATCTACACTTTGTATTCTGTAATCAATGAAAGAAACATTTCTCGTCAATCTACGTATGTCTGTAGATGGAAACCTGGTACAAACTATCTAAGTTGGCTGAACTTATACAAAAACTCCAGCAACAGGAGACTACTAGTTCTGGCCTAAAGTTTCTATTGATAACAAATCTACTTTGATTGAGGACAAAATACAGGAATTAGAACAATATATGAAAGTTTTAATGGAAATTCATGTTAAATTTTCTCCGAGTGCATATGTAACCCGGGTTTATATAATATGATATATATACATATATAGGGTGTGTGTATATATATATACAACGAGTGCTGTCAACTGTCTGTATACACCTGTGTTGTCCCGTCTGGTAAAGAGTGTATGTGACGTCATCAGTTCGGAATGCAAGTTCAAGTTCTTTATTTGCTGAAGTTTTACAACTTATGGCAATTACAGATAAGACAAAGACACTCACAAGGACACACTCACACTGACTCGCACACATCATCCTCATCATCAAGAACACTCACACTGACTCGCACACATCATCCTCATCATCTTCATTAACCTCATCATCATCATCATCATCATCATCATCATCATCATCATCATCATCATCATCATCATCATCACATCATTACATCATCATCATCACCATATCAGCAACAGCAGCAGCAATCATTCGTCATTCATCATACGCACGCCAGAACCATTCTTCACCCTCATTCACCCATACAAGACTTATCAATCTAATAGTATATTACATAATTTGTATACAATAAACTGATGTACAACATGTATCTTAACATGACTTGTTCTATTGATGACCTCTTAATAAATCTGCTCTACGTTTAAACGCTAGTGATAAATACTTAATAAGTTCTTTTGTGTTTTCGATTTTGAGTAATTGAACAAATGTATACATACTAGGCCTTTTGAAATAATATTTCTTTATGTATTTAGACCGGAGGTCTGAATAGCGATTACATTTAATTATAAAATGAAATTCATCTTCTATATCATTTTCATTACATAAAATGCATTTTCTTTCTTCTCTAGGTATATCTCTGTAACGGCCACGTTCAATAGACAGGTCATGCGCACATAAACGTATCTTAGAAATATGTTTTAAATAATTAAAATGAATTGCCTTATGACGATATGGTTGCAATTTAATACTTTCCACTAAATGCTGATATAATACTTCTTCAGAAGAAGAATGAACTTTCTCTAGACAATCTTGCTGAAAACTATCACATAATCGCTGCTTATATACTTCACTAGAAGGATAAATACTGTCAGTCACAAACATGTATCCAAGGCCGAATCTTGAAAGATCATGCTTTAAGTTAAGGATCCAGGGGTCTTTATTTTCAACCCTATCATCATAACAAGCTTTCAGCACACAGTTATCAGAACGTTGTAATTTAATCCAATACTTAAAAATTTTAACTTTTCTTAACAGCTCTAAATGAGATCTTCCAAATTCAATATAAAGAAATGCAGTGTTTGTAGATTTTCTTAATCCTAATAATGATTTCAAAAATCCAATATGCAATTTTTCTATTTCGGGTGCTTTATGAAATCCCCAAATTTCTGAACCGTACATTAAAATACTATTGACAAACGTGTCAAAAACAGCAAGACGAGATTCTATATTAAAATAATTCTTTTTACATACATTATTTATGGCAAATAGTGCTTTTCGACCTTGTTCTGCAAGGTTTTTTTTGTGTTTTTGTAAATCTTCCATTATAATTTAAAGTGAGACCAAGATAATTAAACTCATCAACTACTTCAATCGCATCATTATTATAAAACCATTTTTCTTTTGCTCTTATTAAACCTCCATTTCTAAAGATAACTATTTTTGTTTTATCTACATTTAAAGTTAAGCTACATTTTCTACAGTAATCTGCTAGTGAATCTAACATTTTCTGCAAGTCTTCTGGTGTTTCCGATAGTATGACCATATCGTCTGCATACATAAGTAAAAATAAATTAATGGTTTGAATTTCTAGTGATAAGCAATTATTTTTTTATAAAATCCATTGCTAAATCATTAACAAACAATGTAAACAACAAGGGAGATAATATTTCCCCTTGGAATAAACCACAATCACATTTGAAAAATTCAGTAACACCTTTGAATTTAACACAACATTTTACATTGGCATAGAGACTTCTTATTATTTTCAGGAATTTCCCTTCTATACCTTCCTTAATCATTTTATACCAAAGATTTTAACAAAATCAAAAGCTTTTTTATAATCTATAAAACAGCAGTAAAGTCTGTTTCGTTTTTTGAGAGTTCTATTAATTAATGATTGTAGTACGAAAATAGCATCTATCGTGGAAAGTTTTTTTCTAAATCCAAATTGTACATCTGTGATAATATTATGTATTTTATCAACATTAACTAATCTTTCATTTAAAATGGCAGTGAATTTTTTTCCAAGACAACTTACTAATGTAGTACCTCTATAATTATTAGTTACATTCACATCCCCTTTCTTAAATAGTGGTATAATTGTTCCAATATTCCAATTATCTGGAAAAATTCCAGAACTAAATATTCCATTAAAAAGCAATTTTAGACATGGTGCCAATGCATCTTCACAAGTAACAAACACTTCATTTAACAAACCATCAAGACCACAAGCCTTATTTAGTTTTAAATTAGATATTGCATGTAAAACCCCTCTCTCAGTGATCTCTACATCTAATTCAGAATAAGGGTTCATATAATTACCAGAATCATCATAAGCATTCATATATGCATCAACATCCTCATTACGATCAGGAACAGTAGACGCCAATTTTTTAAAATGTTCAAAAAAATCTTCTCTTTTCAAATAACATTTTCTCGCTTTTGTCTTTCTTTTAAAACGTTTGTAAAATGTTTTCGGGTTATATTTTCTCAAGTAATTCATCATGTTACCCTTCTGGGTCTTGTATTCTCTTTTCAGTTTTAATTCTAGCTTCTTGTATACCTTTTTCTTATCGATCAAACTTGTATGATTGTCACGTGTTTTGTTCTTATTAAAGACTGAGAGAGCAGTTTTGTATTCTTTGAATTTTACTTTACAAGTTTCTGAAAACCAAGGTTTATCTCCCTTATTATATTTTTTAGATATATTACAAGATGGAGTTTGAACGCAATAAGGTTCAACAATGGTTCTAAGTAATTCAGAAAAATCTGCGACACTTTTATTAACACTATCCAAAGAAATATCCATATTTATACATGTATGCATTAGACTATCGGCATTATCACTGACCATTGTTTTAA